GGAGTTCCCATAAACTCCAAACAAAAGTCTAACAACTACAAAACAAATGCGGAGTAATACCTAGAACCTGAAAGTCAATGTACCAAAACATCTGAAGTTCAACAACTCTAAACAAGAAGGGGTACAACCCCAAACTAACACACGAATAACTAACTAGAAAGTCTAAGTCTGAAAACGTGGACATAAACGAAAGAGAACTCATGGCAGCCCGGAAGAACTGGCTCACCCTTGAATTTGAAACGATCACTGATCTTTTGAGCGAGGTCTATCAATAGCCGCTAGAAGATGCCCTGTACTAAACAAAGAAAGAGCAAGTGAAGTATCAGTACACAACCATAGTGTACTGGTAGGATCACACGGATATCCACTAAGTGCAACATACACAAGTCATCACAACATAATAATAACAAGAATACACCGAACATATACAATATCAACATTAATTACGAACAACGGAGCATTTCACAATTTTCAATATAAAGTTATGTCAAGTCAATGGTCCTCTCATGGAACCTAGACCCAAACTGTTAGTGTACCGGTACGTGGTACCCGATCCAATGTTTATGTCAGAACGTGGCAAACGATCCCATATTTATGTCGAAACGTGGAAACCGATCCAAGTTAGTGTGTCGAAACACAACACCCGATCCATTCAACAAGTCACAATCACAATCACAAAGTATATTCTCATAATCATACAATCAAGTCATGATTTCATGGAAAACAATTATTCAATCATCCCCATTTACGAATAATCTGATCAATAATGGAACATTTGTATACATACATGTATCATAATGAAGCAAGAACAAACATATATCACACAACATGAAATCACAACCATCACCTACCTCGAAACAAGCTTGAATCCCCTAAGAAACTTGATTCTTCCATTTCCGGATTCGTTCCGCTTGTTCTTGGTCTACAAACAATTAATATAACATGGAGATCAATACACAATATCTAATTACCCGGACTAAAGTCAACACTATCAACCCTAGATCACCCTTTTATCCCTATACCCAAATTAGGGCTTTTCCCACCATCCAAACAATTCCAAAACCCTTCCCCAACAATAATTACCCACGAATTTACATCCTACGGATCTAAAAAACGGAATCTGGGAGTGAAAACCTTACCTTTAGCCTCAAGAATGGAGGAAAACTGTCAAGAAAACACCTGAGGTCGCCTCCTAGCTCTCAAAGTCGAAACTTGTAGAATAAAACAATTTTGGGGTTTATTTTCGACATAATTCGCGATTGGCCCGCTAGAGAGGTCCTCACCCCGCTACAGCGGCCCCGCCCTGGCAGGAATAATCCCTTCACAGCGGCTTGCACGGAACCAATGAGTCGATTTAAAAATTCCAAACCCCCATTTCACAACACACCTTCAACCCATGACACTGAAAATCTACCCGTTCACGCTAAGATCAATCTCGGGAGTTCTACTCGCCAGAATTCAATTCCGTAAAGTCGTAGGGTTCCTTAACGTCTTAGTTATCTACTCATTTAATTAAATTCATAATTAGATCACCCAATTGTTACCATATTTCCCTAAACTTTACTGACCCCGATTTCGTCCAAATCTGGATTAGGTTGGGAAATCCCAAATTACTACAAAAAAGTTTTTCGGCCCAAAATTTTTCTCCGTTGGATTTTCTATAACGACTGGAACAGGTCGTTACATATTAATTGTTAAGTAATAAAATTGAGAATACAAATAAAAGTAAGTGATAAAATTAGTACTTTCACATTCATGCTTGACTACCTCACATAATTAGATGTAATAAAAGAGTACTTCATCCACATAAAATAAATTAGCATAATCTCACCAGCAAAGTCTTGAGAGCTCAAGAGAAATATAATCATACTTCCGATAAAAAAAATGGTCCAACAATTGAATTTGCCTTGTTATAATAGGGTGTCACCTTTTTCATTTCAACAAAAGGGCATACAACTTTAATTAAAGTTTTTTTTTAATTTAGTGTTCAATATTTTTATTGAAGTTCGACTAATTTGAATTCGTGCTATTTAGGATCCCATTTCTGAAAATCAAAAGGTAACGCTTCTTATAAAAGATATTTTCATACCTAAAACTTAATTCGAGACCTTTAACATCATCTACTACACTACATATTAATGATACTTTAAGTAAAGTTGATTGTGCTTTACTTTCTACTAATTGATTAATTGTCATTAAATTTGACTTTTACTAATATAGTATAAAATAAAGAGACACCATGATGCAACCACCAACATAAACTATTAGTTATCACTATATAACTACTATTGTCAGTCATTTCAGCATCTAATCGCGTAGTATTACCAATCTCTCTTTACACAATAATTATCATATCTAGTCATTATCCAATAATATCTTTATTATAATAATTAATTATATTCGTCGTCAATTAGCATCACTATCATATATATGTAAAAAAAAAATCTGAACTATTATCAACTATTTATCAAAATATTCTATTCACTTCCATAATTAACTCCATGAATTGAATATTTTATATAATTAATATAATACTCCAGATAGAAAGGCAAGTAGTAGGCCTGGTTCACCAGGTTCTACCACTATAGAGCTCAATCATAGACAAATTTAATTATTCGTTGTTCTTTTTTTTTCTACTTGAAATTTCACCATCGTTCAAATAGGAAAAGAACAATTGATAGTTAAGATATGTTTTGATAATTTTTTGTTGAATGATCAAGTAGGAAACGTAAACATGATAATTCAATGAATAATTTTACATTTAGTTCCTACTTTACCCTTATCATTATTATATTTATTTCCCTATTATATTTTTCAAGACATTACATTAATTATATTCAAAGGGTGATATAGTAAAATTACCATTCTATTTATAGTTTCCTAAGAAGTGTGCAAAGTTAATAGTGGACAACTATTGTTGAACGAGTAAGAATATTCTACCCTTTTCAAAAATATTAATTCTCTAAATAAATTGATGATATAATGATACTCTCTTTGTCCCAATTTATGTAACATTTTTCGTTTTTCGAGAGTCAAACAATTTAAGTTTCATCTGAAATTTGCACGTGGAATCTTCAATTTTTTTGAAATGAAATTTATAGAGCAAAAATCCTAGAATGATATTTTTACCTATATTATTTTATCTTTTTAAACATTTTTACCCTTTTAACTTTAATATCTTTTAATTAAAAAATAGAAAAAAGATCAGTTTATTTTAAAATTTAAAAAAAATCATAAACTTTTAAATTTCTGACCAAATTTTCTAGACATTTAGCATTACTCATTTATATATTTGTAAACTACGTAAAAAATATTATAAGTCACAATAATTGACAATTCAAAATATATATATATATATTTACAATAAAAAATAAACTTATTTAAATCTCTAAATCTGAAAAATATCATATAAATTAAAACGAAAAGAATATTATTTATTTCATCTTCACCAAATAAAATTAATGTTCAAATATAATTTTAAATTTTGAAAAACTCAAATTTTAAGTTTCCAAGTATAAAATTCAAAAGCTACGATCAAATTGGAACACAAATTCAAGCATGAAGACGTGTCTTGCATAGAGCTTCCTAAAGCACACCTCTTCCGCTGCCTCTTCCCCTTCCCCGCCACGTTTCATCTCTACCTTCTATAAAAACTTTGATATTCCCTCCTTTTTTCATCGAATTCGAAGTATCCCACTTTCACGCAATTCACAGAATTCAACAAGCAATCCGATCATGTCGAATTCATCTTCCACCATTTCCATCTCGAATGTTCAACTCCAACACATAACTCATCTCACAAACTACAATTCCCAAATCCAAACCCACACTAACCCACTTGCCTTTAACCCTTTTTTCCGAACTTTCCCCGGATTCTTCCTTACCTCATCCGATATCGTTCTCCGTCACAACGTTCTAGATCTTTCCGGAACTTTCCCTTCACCTAATCCGCCATTAGCTTACCACAGAGCAGGACCTCGCAATCAGATTCTCTTCGATCCTGCTACTGTACGAGCTGCGATTGTTACCTGTGGTGGTTTGTGCCCTGGAATGAATACGGTGATTCGGGAATTGGTAGTTGGGTTGTGGGAATTGTACGGTGTTCGTGAGATTTTTGGGATTAAAGCGGGTTATCGAGGGTTTTATAGCTATGACCCGGTTCGATTGAATCCGAAGATGGTTGATGATTGGCATAAGAGAGGTGGAACTGTGCTTGAAACTTCTAGAGGTGGATTTGATTTGAAGAAGATTGTTGATGCTATTCAGAATCATGGGTTTAACCAGGTTTTTGATTTTTTTTCGTTATTTCTTAAGAATTTAGCTTGAAATAAAAAATTTGTGTTATTACTATTAGATGGAGAAATCACGTAAAGTGATCAAAATATTTATAGTTGAGTGATTTTTAAGTTATTACATAAGGAAAAATGACACTTTTGTGATTGAATTAATTGTTGAGTGACTTTGAGTTATAGATGATCGAATTATTAATAGTTGAGGAGTGATCTTTGAGTTATAAAGCAAAGAAAAATACCTTTTTGGGAGTGAATTATCAGTAATTGAGTATTTTTTGAGTTATGAAGTAAAGTATGTTTTCGTGATCGAAATATCAATAGTCGAGTGATCTTTGAGTTATAAAGCAAAGAAAAGTGACCTTTTGTGATTAAAATATCAATAGTTGAGTGATGTGAGTTATAAAGTGAAGAGAAGTGATTTTTTGTGATTGAAATATCAATAATTGTATGACTCAAAGAAAAAAATACCTTTTTGGGATTGAGATATCAGTAATTGAGTATTTTTTGAGTTATAGAGTAAAGTATGTTTTCGTGATTGAAATATCAATAGTCGAGCGATCTTTGAGTTATAAAGCAAAGAAAAGTGACTTTGTGTGATTAAAATATCAATAGTTAAGTGACCCGAGTTATAAAGTAAAGAGAAGTGAAGAAGTGACTTTGTGATTGAAAAATCAATAGTTGAGGAGTGACCTTTGAGTTATACAGCAAAGAAAAATGACTTTTTGTGATTGAGATATCAATATTTGAGTGATTTTTGAGTTAGGGCCCGTTTGGCCATGCAATATGGTATCATGATATGGAATCATGATATGGTATCCATGGTATGGAAGTCAATGAGATGAAATTGAAGGTTTTGTTTGGACATGCAATATGAAATTTTTGTGTTTTTATATTTTCTCATAAACATAAAAATCTCATAAGTTGTAAAAACTATTAAAAATAGCCCCAATTGTTTATTCAATCTTATCAAATAAACAAAAAATTAAAAAATCGCATAATAAATTATTACAAAGTTATTGTTCTCCACTTAAGTAATTGTTTCATCTAACTTTAATTTAATAAAAATAATTGAACATAAATTGTACTTGATATGCTCATATCTCAGTAGAAAAAAATACATTAGTTGAGTAAATATTAACTTAGAAGTAAAATACACTAAGATAAAAATTAACAAACATCACTGACTTCTAACTATTTACAAGAAAAATCAATAGTTAAATATTATTGAATAACGAAATTTTAAAAAGTTACCACAAGTTTGAGTCAAAAACACTTCTAATAAAATTTAATCAAAAAAATTATAACTAGTCCACTTGACTAAATATTAATAACTAATTGATCAAATTTTTCCCAAGTCCTCAATCCATTGGACTTGATATTCTTCAGTCATGTGAACGAACATTTTGAAATACTAAGATTAAGAAAGTGCGGCACCGCCAATGAAAATTGTCTTTTATCAATATTATGCTTAGTCATAAGATTAAGACGTTTTTTTTTATTATGAAAAATCAAAAAAGTATTACTCCCTTCGTTCTTATTTATATTCACCAAATGAATTTCTACTTTATCATTTATATTCACCAAATTTAAAGTAATAATAAATTTTATATTGGTGAGAATAATAAATTTTAAAAAGTAATGATGTGATTATAAATTTATTTGGCCAAACACATACACAGCCCCTCAAACTTGGCCCCATTTTTCATTTTGGCACTCCCTACTTATAAAAGTAAAGTTAAATGATGTTTTCATGATTGAAATATCAATAATTGATTGAGTTTTTTTTCTTATTAAGTAAAGAAAAGTGATGTTTTCGTGATTGAAATATCAATAATCGAGTGAGTTGTAGTTATAAAGCAAAGAAAAGTGTCGCTTTTGTGATTGAAATATCAACCGTTGAGTGATTTTTGAGTTATAAAGTAAAGAAAAAAAATTACCTTTTTGTGATAATATCAATATTTAAGTGATTTTTATCAATAATCGAGTGACTTTTGAGTTAAAGATTAAAAAAGAAGTGATGTTTTTGTGATTGATAATATCAATGTTAGTCAAAAATCCAAATTGGATAAAAATGTTTGAGTGATTTTTATCAATAATCGAGTGACTTTTGAGTTATAGATTAAAAAAGAAGTGATGTTTTTGTGATTGATAATATCAATGTTAGTCAAAAATCCAAATTGGATAAAAAATATGGTGCACCAGCCGGGAATCGAACCCGGGTCTGTACCGTGGCAGGGTACTATTCTACCACTAGACCACTGGTGCAATTTATTCAATGAACTCGTTCAATATATGTTGTGCAAAATGTACAACTCCAAATGAAATTGAAAAACAAGAAAACAAATTTTGTGGTTGAGTACTTGTGTGCTATTACTTTATTACTAAAGTAATACTGGGCAACTATGTTGCTCGGACTCTACAATAAAGACTATGGGTACTTGTCGTATCTTTCAAAAGTAGTACATTTTTGGAGGGTTCGACACGAGTGCAATAACATTTTTGGAGAGTTCGAATAACATAGCTAGACAATATGTTGTTTGATTTTTTATTATATGACTTAAGCATGACAATATATTAATTAGTTGATGTATGTAGTAAATCTTGATTCGTCTTCAAGATTTATGCATCTCCATTTGAATGATACATTAAATTTATCTCTATTTCATCGGTAGCTAGTGATGGAACTATTTGTGTTTTGTGCATTGTATTATTGAGCAGCTTTACATCATAGGAGGAGACGGTACAATGCGTGGAGCAGTTGAGATATTCGAGGAATTGAAACAAAGAAAATTGTATATATCAGTGGTCGGAATCCCTAAGACAGTTGACAATGATGTTGGCATTATCGACAGATCATTCGGGTTCCAAACTGCAGTAGAGATGGCACAACAAGCGATTAATGCCGCTCATGTAGAAGCAGAGAGTGCAGTAAATGGGATAGGGCTGGTGAAGCTTATGGGCCGCAGTACTGGTCATATTGCACTACATGCAACATTAAGTAGCCGTGATGTCGATTGTTGTTTGATTCCCGAGATCGACTTCTACTTGGAAGGTAATATTAAAACTGTGTAACCATCTCATTTTACATATGTACACGTATACATGTTTTTTTATGTAGCGTGGCGATAAGATTTAAACCTAAGATCTTTGTGCTTGTTCTGAATAATGTTGAATTGTGTGACGTTCTTATGTGTGTACTCACATACACACACACATATTACTTCTCGGGTGGCGATGGGATTTGAACCCAAGGATCTTTCTCTTGCTCGGATAGTATGTTGAATCATCTGACCAATCTTAGCACATTTTTTGGGTATAGCATGTTGAATCGTGTTAATTAATCTTAGCACATTTTTAAGTAGTTAATTATACTATGTCTCAACAGGTAAGGGAGGACTATTCGAATTTCTCGAAGATCAATTGAAGGAGATGGGGCACGCAGTGTTGGTAGTAGCCGAGGGTGCAGGACAAGATATAATTCCAAGGACTGAATCCCAAAAAACAGAGAAGGATGAGTCGGGCAACCCTGTCTTCTTGGACGTTGGAGGGTGGCTGAAGTCGGAACTCAAGAATTGGTGGAGCAGGGATCATCCGAACGAGTTGTTCACGATAAAATACATAGATCCTACATACATGATACGCGCTGTACCTCCAAACGCAACGGATAACTCGTACTGCACGTTGCTAGCGCACTCTGCCATTCATGGAGTTATGGCAGGGTACACCGGGTTCGTTTGTGGACCGATAAATGGGAACTATGCATATATTCCAGTTGATGAAGTTGCCAAAGCCAAGAACAAAGTGGATACCAGAGATCATAAATGGTCTTGGGTTAGATCTGTTAGCAATCAGCCTGATTTCATCAGAAGTTAAAAGCTTTCGAATGATCTACTTTGGCACTCTCTTTGTCCGCCCGTGATGACGGTGGTGTCTGGTCAAGTTTGTGTGTATTTCAATTATTTCATCGAATATTTGTGATGCATCATATCACATATCGGGTAACTATGTATATCGAGACTAGCTAGTGAATCCAGATAAGCTAGAAGTTCATGGCTTTTATCTTGGCAAGTGAGAACACCTCTTTTTCGGTGTGGGGTAGACACCGGATTTCATGTTAATAGCTCACATGGTCTTAAATGTCCCTAACAAATAGGAGGAAGGAGGAAACCACATATTAGTGGTGGTTGTCCCTGCTGAGATTTGAAACCTTGATCTTCTAAAATTTGCGCCTTTCGTCACTTTTTCTCGGGTCGGGTTTCTTTGTATATATGTAACTAAAAAAATAAACAAGGTGCATTAGTGTAAAATGTATGATAATAATCCCTTGATGCTTAAACAATTAAGCAAGCAAGCTATCATTAATTATTTCTTTAATCCTCCCCTTTTCTCTTTTTAAGAGTTCCTTTAGTTGGGGTTGGTGGCTTGTGGGATGCTTTGATACGATTATTAATTTTGTCAATGTTCATGGGGACGATTTCCCAATGCAATTTTGAATTTAGTTTGGTTTCAACGTGAGTATTAAGTCGGATATTAATGTGAGTATTTGAATGCGAATATTTGACATAATCGGGTTTGAACGCGAGTATCTAATTGATTATTACATATTAAATTGTACTAATAGTGTAATTTTTTTCTACATTATTAGTATATAACAAAAATATTATTGATTGACTGATTTTACTTTCTTTTTTTTAAAGTTAAAACGATGGTTTGTTTCTCTATTTTTTACGTTATCTTCATATCACATGGACAATATTTTACGTTAGCTTTGGACAGAGAAATATTTCCCAAAGTCCTAAAGGAAAAAAAAACTTTATAAAATTAGTGGCTAATGATTAATTGTAATTTAATAACAAAACAAACCAAACATCCATTTTGTAAAATTAATTAATTTAAGCATATACGACACGAGGCTTCTCTCATTGGGCTCCATGTGAGAGAGTCGGTGATGCATCTCGGTTCTCGATAAGGTTGTACAATGGGATGAGACGGGACGCGGGACGAACTTATTTATCCCGTCTCATCCCACTTAGCTTACGAGACGAGATGGTGTTATTAAAAAGTACAGTGAGATGAATATGATGACTTCTCTTTAGTTAAGAATTTCAAATAACTCTTATTTACAAAGAACATTTTATTCTCTAATGATTTTATTCCAGGTGAATCTAAATTAATAAGATTATCGTATTTCACATATCAGAAGATTAAATAATTAAATAAAGTGATGAGATGAATGTGAAAGTCGATTATCATGACTTAGTATTGGGTATGCATTGTTATTTATTATCAAGAAGCGTGATGAAATAGGAGTGATTTTCTTATTCTAAACTGAAATGCATGAAATGAATATTATCTCTTAATGTTAATCAAAAATTTTAAATTCAAACTTTAAATAAAAATATTTAAAGACATATCTTTCCTTTTAATTATCTTATACGATGTGACTTGTGAGTATGAATTAATCACACTAATAAACATCATATACTAAATAATTAAATCAAATTAATACCGAAAATGTTTTATTATCAATCTAAATTAAATAAGGAAAAGGAAACTCCAACTATCAACTCTCACATTACACCTCAACCATGGCTATTATGACTACTACCTAACAACTCCTAGCTTTAATTTATCAATAGCTTGTTATTTTTTTAATAATTTCTTTCAATGAATGTTCGATATTTATTTAAAGTTTAATTAATTTAAATTGACATTATAAAATTCCACGTAAAAAGTACTCCTAATATGTTCTCTATTAAAAATAATTTTATATTTATGACAAATTCGAGATAATGGATAAATACTTACCGACTTAAATGTGGACGCTAGGACTTATGACAAGGTACCATATTGTCTGTATCCAAATTTACACAAGTCAAACATTTGTGTATTTTGACTGTTTTAATTTGTAATGTAATTTTTTTATTATATTACCTATTTATAAATTTTTCTTTATAATAAATTAAGAAATTTAAAGTTTAAAATATTTATTTTTGGATCTAACAAAAGAGATAACTCAACCTTGATATATAAGTTATTTGATAATTGTCCTGTTAAAATTTGAAAGATAACAATAACAACAATAATTAAATAACATATCAGATTATCTTGTGGAGAGAAAGTTGTTTACGATAAATCTTCGATTCAAGTAAAATATTTTAAACCAATTTAAATGAGGAAAATGAACTAATAAAGATAACATTATGTAACATTTATAAAAGAAACAATAGATAATCAAAGCCTACATGATGATAATAATCGAAGAACAAGAGACTATACAATAATATGATATCGAGGCAAATATGAAAACCCCGATAAGAAAAACTGTAATTATAATTTTGAAATAGTGAACGAGTAAAAATGAATGGAATAATATTTCTATTGGTACTAATCAGTCAAAAATATTTCTGGCCCTCCAATGCCACTACAGTTTGCTTTTCAGCTGCTGCTGCTGAGATAAACCGACATTTACACTGTTTAACAGCAATAATCTCCTGCTTAATGTTATTCCTACAAATTAGCTGACAAGTACTACAAAGAATCCATCTTTCTTGTTAAAAAAGAAGAAAATAATCTGCCTTTCTGAAAATTCCTCTAAAAAAATCTCACCATTGATGAAAAATTGTTTCTTAGCTGGTACATGGGTTTCAAGAAAATGGCTTTAATCACTCTTTTACCCAAACAAGAACAGACCCTTTTTAGTTTTCTAGCTGTATCAGTGTTATTGTTCTTATGTTGCGGTGTTATTGAGGTGGAATCTGGTATTGGGGTTAATTGGGGTACTATATCTTTGCACAAAATGTCACCTTTTACTGTTGTGGATCTTCTTAAACAAAACAAGATTCAGAAAGTGAAGCTTTTTGATGCAGATCCAGCTGTGATGAAGGGTTTAATGGGGAGTGGGCTTGAAGTTATGGTTGGGATACCAAATGATATGTTGGCTGGCCTTAGTTCTTCTACTTCTGCTGCTGATTTGTGGGTAGCTCAAAATGTTTCAAGATATATGGTTAAAGGGGGTGTTAATATCAAGTAACTTCTAAGTTCTCTTTCTTTTTATGGATTACTTTGTTATTTCACCTGCCTTTTTTAAAAAAAATCTTCTCTGATTCTTTTAGCTGCTAGTATTTGCTAATTAGCTGAGATTATGTTTTATATATGTTGACATGAGTTGAGCTTTGTTAGAGTGCGTTAGAATCCCACATTGGTTGGAAAATGGACGGGTGGTCTGCATATATGAACTTGACAATCCTCCTCTCTTGAGTTAGCTTTGGGGTTGAGTTAGGTGAAGTGTCATATCTTTACATAGTTTCAGAGTTAGGTCATCCCTGTTTGAGCTCCCAGTTCATGCTCATGTTGGGCCTGGACACAAAAGGGGGTGTTAAGGTGGGTTAGAGCTCCGTATTGATTGGGAAGTAGATTGGTGGTTTGCTTATATGAACTTGAGCAATCTTCCCTCATGTGCTAACTTTTGGGATTGAGTTAGACCTAATTTTACAAGCTTAAAGGGAATAGTTAGTATTCATATAGCCTGACCTCAACTTATTTGAGATTGAGGCATAGTTGTTGTTATTTGTATTTTAGATATGTTACTAGGTTTACCCTAGACCATATGCTTTCTAGGAGTCTTTTAGCCCCAGTATGAACTTGTATGACAGTTAAAAACATAAATACCTTCTAGTACTTTTCATTTCAATGTGTATTCTTTATTTGTTAAACATGATTAGTTAGGATTCATATAGGCTATAGCCGACCACAACTTATTTGGGACTATATTTGTCGTAGTACTACTGTACTAGTATTTGCCAATCTTTATGTGTAATGCCGATTCTTGTCTTTACCTCCGTTTTTATGCTATTAGAGGAAATGAAGGGCTTTGATTCTTCAAACATTTGAACCATAATTGTTCATATACATGGTTATTGTGTCTCTGAATTCTTGGATTCTGTCTTTGAAGTTCTTAGAGTGAGCTTTTACAAGATATTTTTGTGTTAGTTCTTGCAGTATTCTGTTCAAGTTCCCGGTAGATATTTATATTATGTTACTTTTTGGTATAAAATTGTGTAAAAGATCCATTTTTTTATTAACTCAAAAAACATCTTGTGGCCATATTATTACATTCCATCACCCAATTTGGCCTAACACAATTTCTGTTTATATTAGCAACAGGGGATACATCACCTTGAAATTGAGAGAGATTAGTGATTACAATCACCATATAATAAATGAGGTAGACGTCTAGTAGTACTACTATAACCTCCTTTCTCAAAACGTTCACCAGTATCATCCAAAGAAAGATATTAAAGTAGCCAAAATTTAATCCCTTTACTGTGTAGTTTTTTATGCTAGCAGACAGCCTTTCTCAGATAAGGCAAGGCTGTTCCCTATCAAAAGCACTTTCAGTAGAAAAATGAATTCCTCTAGATAAGTTCCCTGTCGAGAGGGAAGAAAGGAGAATTTACTTCGGGGCTTAAGGTAGTTCAGTCACCCTCAGGTCATAATAGAGTCTAGTATGACATCGGTAGGAAGATAATGCAGCTAAGCCGAGACTTGCTTCTGAGGCATTTCAGACATAAGGTAGTTCACTCACCCTCAGGTCATAATGGAGTCTAGTATGACATCTGTAGGAAGATAATGCAGCTAAGCCGAGGCTTGCTTCTGAGGCATTTCAGACTTTACTTGCTGTTGCCGATATGATCTTTTCTCTTGTTTCAGAAGTGGTGTTTGCTACTATTGTAGATAAGAGTGACAGAATTGATAGAGCAAAATTCAATTCCATAGCTAGTTAAAAAAATTGTGGGGTGGAGAACGAAAAAGATCTATACTCGTTTCCACAATAATAACAAAGCATGTTAGGCAGTGCTGGTATTTCATTTACCTTTAGCTTTAAAGAGTACTAAAGATCGTTGCACCCAAGGGTGTTGCCTAGTAGTAGTCAAATGCCATGTTAAGTTGCTTATCGCTTATGTAGAAAATGACACTTGGTCACTGCAGCATCCCTGATCTGAAAATTTCATAGCTATAAAAATACTTTCTTCCTTCTCTTTTTTTTGGTGATTCCAATTTCCAGCATATACCATGTCATTCTCTTGTTTCTTCTCATTTTCTCTCTCTTTGGCTAATGACAGCTATACATCAACACAGGTATGTTGCAGTTGGTAATGAGCCTTTTCTTACAAGTTATTCTGGTCAGTACCAATCATACGTTGTCCCAGCTATGACAAATTTGCTACAGTCTTTGGCCAAAGCAAATCTTGCTAGGAATGTAAAGCTGGTAGTCCCATGCAATGCCGATGCCTATGAGTCTTCCCTTCCATCACAAGGAACCTTCAGACCCGAATTGACTCCGATCATAACACAGATGGTTTCACTTCTGA